GCTCAGTGTCCATGGGGAACTGGATGGATGGGGCGGGCATAACGGCGTGCAGACCTTCACGTGCAAGTTTATTCAGAGTGAAAATGAAACCACAAAGGGTATTGAGCTGCCACTACGTGACGGTTCCTTCAGTGGTCAGATCAGCCCTGCTGCTTGTGGTATGGAGCCACCATTTCACTGGCTGTCCACTGCAGGCATGCAGGCGGCTTTCGTGGGTACCAGAGGGACTCGAAGTCTGGAGGAGGCCGGCCAGCCTTGGGCTGGACTCCCTGCTGGAGGAGCACACTGGCCTATTTTCTAAGGAGAGCATGTGTTTTCTTTTTAAAGAAAGGTTGTGTGATTTGCAAAGCAACCAAAAAAATATCCACTTTACTTTAAATAGAGAGTGTTGATGTTCTTCACTAGTTTTTATTCACGCAGGTTCTATAAAAATCTAAACAAATTTTGCAGCATTGACCTTCCGTAAAGTGCAAACAATTAGAACTGGAAGAGTCAAATCATTTCCCCTGCCATTTAGGTTTTGCCAAGAAACTTAAAAACACTTTTTAGTGTGCCAGTAGTTGTTGTTGTCTTTCTTCCCTAGATAAAACTATGACTGGCTGGTGAAATGGGCCCATATACTTAAAAGAACATCTTCTTTAGTGGCTCACTGCAAGGGCTGTAAAGAAAACATATGCAGTATCTAAATAACCAGTCTTTGCCTTAAGAAATACTTGGATTGCATGTTTGTTCATTCACATATTTTGATTCCCGTCTAGGAGGAAAGTTAAATGTACTCTGAGATTTGCTTTGTCAGTTCAGCAGTGAAATGTGTAAAGTCTCTGCTGTGCACATGGGGAGGGTAAATCTGCATGTTTCCGGCAGCTTCCTCACTTTGGAGTTTGTGCCTTAACCACAAATGGATGAGCTGTCACGGAGAACCTTGAAGGTGGTCACCACGTAAACTGAGTTTACCAACGAGCAACAGCCACGCGGTGCCGTTTCTTTGGCAAGCCAGCCTCTGAGCTTGACTCCCCATCACCTGAGGGGCAAGGAGATTTGGGCTGCCTTTTGCACAGGATAGTGAAAGAGATCACGCATGTGAAAAATGGATCCCAGACCAAACCCAACCCTTTGCTGTCAAGTAAATTCTGACATTGAACGACCCTGTGGGGCAGTCCTGCTCTGCCCCAGAGGGCAGCTATTGTCCTATGGGGGGGCTTCTAGGGCAGTGACCTTTATGGGAGTACACGGTCCCATCTTCTCTTAGGGAGCTGCTGGTGGTAGCCTCGTGCTTAACCCCTGCACCCCAAGGACTCCTTCAAAAGATGCATCACTCGTCCCTTAAACTCCGCACCCTACCTTTCTCTCCCCTTCTTCGCCTCTGGTACACCTGTGCTTTGTCATTACGTTTGAACAGAACTTGACGAAATGCTGGAGGAGAGGAGGCTGATCATAACACCTCACCATCCCTCCCCTTATTTCAGAATCTCCATGGGACTTTGTTCCCCAGTTGTTATGGTTCGTGAATGGTGTCATTGCAGTGCCTCAGAATTGTTACCGTTTTAACCCCCTTCTAGTTGCTCTAACAGATGTTAAAATCTCCAACTCTGACAGCAGATCGGTTTCTTCCTTTATTTCCGTCAGTTTTTGCATCATGTATCGTGAAGCCTTTATTAGGTCCATATAGATTTATAATGTGTATGTCTTTGTGATGTATTAACCTTTTTATCCTCATGAAGCTTCCCGCACCATCGCTAATACCACTCCTTGCATTCTTGCTTTCAAGTTCATTGGCTGGATACTTTTCTAACCTTTTTACCATGTTCATGATTGATTGCTTACATGGTGTGCTTTTATGGCATCATTTTAATCCATTTGTGTCTCTGTACAGAGTTGATTATAAGAACTCAGAGGACCATTCTATTCTCCAATCTGGCGTGCCCTGCCTTTGACGGGAGTATTTAGTTCATTTTTCCTGTAAGTTTTCATAGTCAAGCTGTTGCCATTACTTACATACCCTGTTGTTCAATGGCCTCCTTTCCCTCCTGTGAATTGGGAGCTTGGCCAGATGCAGTTTTGTTGTGTTTTGGTCATAATCTTCTATTGTGAGGAAGTCAATATCTAGCACAGGAATCTGTAGGTGGAGCAATCTGAAGCACCCAGCTACTCACCAAAAGTTGGGGGGTTCAAATCTGCCCAGAGGCACCTTGGAAGAAAGGCTTGGAGAGCCCCTTCCAAAAGGTCCTGCCACAGAAGGCCTCCAGATCCTAGTTCTATTCCGACACATGGGTCATTTGAGGTTGGCTTCCTGGCTGTTGTCAGTCTATGGCATTGTCTAGGCCTCCCATCCTCAGAGGTTACAAAGCGGTGGTACTCTGTTAGAATAATTTCACACAGAGGAGCCTCACTTCATGTATATGCTTCCCTTGAGGTACCATTCTTGGAGAAATGGCTACATAAATGAGTGATTCTGTTGCCTTTGTCAGTTTCCAAAATGCTGAGTTCTTTTTTAGCATCCTTCAAAGATGGCAGAAACCAAACTAACTGCCATTGAATCGATGTCGACTCGTCGTGCCCCACTAGGCAGGTAGAGCTGCTCCTGTGGGTTTCAGAGACTAGCTCTTCCCAGGAGTAGAAAGCCCCGTCTTTCTCCTGCGGAGCGCCTGGTGCTTTTGAACTGTTGACCCTGTGGCTCATAGCCCAACATGTAACCACTATGCCACCAGGGCTTCTCCCAAAGACACCAGGGATTGGAAAAAAGAAATGCATACAAATTTATGAAGATTGTGCCTCATAGGTTTAACAATGCATTTTAAACAAAGCAGCTGTTTTTCCTCTTCCTGCAAGGCTCTCGAGGAGCCCTGGCAGCATAGTGGTTACGAGTTGGCCCTGCGATCTGCAAGGTTGGTGGTTCAAAACCACCAGCAACTCTGCTGGAGCAGGATGGAGCTTTCTACTCCCATAAAGAGTTACAGTCTCTGAAACTTACAGGGGCAGCCCTACTTTGCTCTATAGGGTCACTATGAGTCAATATTGATTCGATAGCGGTGGGTTTTTGTTTACCAGGCCCCTTATGCTAACAATTTTTCTCTTATTTTCTCCACATGGTTAATTTTCTCTCCTTAGTTGTTGACTATCTCCCTTCACCTTTCCCTTTTCCCTCCTGGTGCCATCCTTCCCTTCCGTTCTTCTTGCTTCTGTCACTCTCCTCATGGATTCTACTTTAGGCACCCACCCCCACCCCTGCATGCCTCAGGGAGCCAGGACAAACCCAGGTTTTGAAAGCAACATCTGAAAACGTCCTCACTTTTCCTGGTTTACAACAATGAAAGCAGCCATTTTCAGGCAGTGCCTGAGGAGAGCACCGAGGGGAGGAGTTCAGCGCTTCCTGGGGACAGAAGAGTGTAGCAAACCCCAGCCACGTGGTGCCGCATGGATGCAGCGAGTCACAGGGGAGGACACGCTCCTGTGACCCACAGCCTTCCCAAATGGAGTTTCAGTGGGAGACTTGAACGAGTAAGAGCATTCTTTTCTGTCTTTTTAAAATCAATGTAAAAACAAACCTCCTGCCTTTGGATCCACCTTGATTAGCCGTGGCTCCAGGTGGACAGAGTAGAACCGCCCTACAGTTACCAGGCGGTAATGTCTGTGGAGGCAGACTGCTATCTCTTTCTCCCACAGTGGCCTGTGGGGATCAACTACCAACCTGTGTCACCAGGAATCCTTTATTCTAATTAGCCACTGTTAAATTAGCCTCTGAACTTTTAGGTAGAAGTTAAAGAAAATTTTCCTCCAATGCAAAACTAATCCAAGAAAGGAAAACCAACCAAAAAGCCAACAACGAAACAGGACCTGTGATTCCAAGCAAGGACCATAGGTAGACTAATTTAGCAATCCCCACCCCCACCCCTTTCTACTTTTCCTACGAGGTTCCTGTTACCAGAGCAATTACTTCATGGCCTTCTGCCTGAATCACTCTGAGCTACTTCTCCAGAGGAAATGAGTCTGAAGATACAGACTTGATGCGTACTTCTGCCTTTGGGGACTTCTCTGGATAGCATGTAAATCCATAAAGCTTCATTAATGCAAGTATTTTGGCTTGTCTGCATATTTTTTCAATATGCTTTTGATAACAAGGTCTGTTTCTGGGATACTGTAAGCATAAAACCATATGGTAATGTGTAAAATATCAATGCTGGAGAATGGAGAGAAGCTAATGGGTTCCTTTTTCTATAGTTCCCTACCTAATAGCACTCAGATTTTGACCTACACCCAGGATTCTGAGCCATAGTATAATTCCAACTGCGTTAGGGTACACGGTGGGGAAAAAAAGCCTGCTTTAGACATGCAGGGGCAATGTCATGAAAATGTAGGATGTGA